CCCCGGGGCTACTCTTCGTTGCGGAGCATGGCCTTCTCATTGCGGTAGCTTCTCTTTTTGCAGAGCACGGGCACTAGGCACACAGGCTTCAGTAGTTGTGGCACGTGGGCTCAGTAGCTGTGGCTCGGGGGCTCTAAAGCACAGGCTCAGTAGCTGTGACACATGGGCCTAGTTGCTCCGTGGCATGTGGGATCTTCCTGGACCAGGGATTGAACCCATGTCCCCTGCATTGGCAGGCGGATTCTTAACCACTGTGCCACTAGGGAAGTCTCCATATTTTTTAAAGTGGTGTTGATACTTTTTGTTGTTTGCTTAATTAAATGAAAGGTAGTCTTACCTGGATGCTCATGTCAAAAGGAGTCAACTCATCTTCATCCTGAGTTTCAAACATGGCCTCAGAAGCATCAATCAAAAAAATCAAACTATCTCTTCCTGAATATTTATAATCTCCTATGGGGAAAAACATAGAAGGAAATGTTTGCCCTTGTTTCATATTTATCATGTTTATTATTCATATAAAACAGAAGGACTTCCCTGGTGGTGCAGTGGTTAAGATTCGCACTCCCAATGCAGGGGGCTAGGGTTTGACCTCTGGTCAGGGAACTAGATCCCACATGCATGCCACAACCAAGAGTTCACATGCCACAACTAAGGAGCTGGTGAACTGCAACTAGGGAGTCTGCCTGCCGGGGCTTCCCTGGTGGCACAGTGGTTGACAGTCCACCTGCCAATGCAGGGGACACAGGTTCATGCCCGGGTCCGGGAAGATCCCACATGCCGCGGAGCGGCTGGGCCCGTGAGCCATGGCCGCTGAGCCTGCGCCTCCGGAGCCTGTGCTCCGCAACGGGAGAGATCACAATGGTGAGAGGCCTGCGTACCGCAAAAAAAAAAAAAAAAAAAAAAAAAAAGGAGTCTGCCTGCCGCAACTAAGACCCGGGACAACCAAATTAATTAATTAATTAATTAATTAATTAAATCCTCCATCATAAGCATATCAAAAAAAAACCCCAAAACTTCTAAGAAACAGAATTAAAATAAAATAAAACAAATAAAGTAAAATAAAACAAATAGAGAAAAGCCCATTAAGCAAAATTATAATCTGAGGAATTCCCTAAGGTGAACACCCTTAGGGAATTCCTTGGCGGGCCAGTGGTTAGGACTGCGTGCTTTCACTGCCAAGGGCACGGGTTCAATCGCTGGTCAGGGAACTAAGATCCCGCAAGCCACAAGCTGCGCAGTGCAGCCAAAAAAACAAGAAAAAAAGTGAACACCCTTAAAACCACCATGCACATCAGGCAATTAAATCTTGCCAGTCACCCCAGAAGCCCTCTCCAGGACGCCTCCCAATTTTAACACCCACCTTCCTCCCAAGAGTAATCACCATCCTGACTTTTGGTAATCACTTCATTTTTTTCTTTATAATCATCCAAGCCAACATTCCTAAACACTGGTTTTGACTTTAAAAAAAAAAAAAGTTTTTAAAGCCTCTTATAATCTGTAGATACCCCCTCTGTCTTTTGTCTCATAATTTATTTGCTGAAAAACCTGGATATTATGTCATATACTTTTCCACCTTCTGGATTTTGCTGACTGCATTCTTTTGGTGTAGATTAACATAGTCCTCTGTCTTTTCTACTAAGGACCTAGAGAGGCTTCATCGGATTTGGGTTTGTTTTTTTTTTTCTGGCATGATTACATTATAGGTGATGTTGAGTTTTTCATAAAACGGCATATAATGTCTGGTTGTCTCCCTTTTTGACGATGCTGCTTCCTAATGCAATAAATTTAATTACCCATCTTTTCTGAAGCAACACAGCAATACGTGTCAAGAGCCTTAAACAAAAATTCTACCTTGAGCCAGTGAATTCTACTTCTTAGGAATCTATCTTAAGAAAATAAAATATGGAAAAACCCTACGCAAATATTTCCACAATGTTGTTTATTAAAGTAAGAAACTGAAAACTAAAATGTCCAACAGAAGGTAGAATGAACAAATTATACCATATTTAAAATGATTTATAGAGGCTATATTTGCAGTTACATGGAAAGATATATCTATAATACAGTAAGAAAAAAAGGCAGAACACAAAACTATGTATATGTTTAAAATTCTTTTTGAAGATGTAAATTTTGAAAATGTAAATTAAAATGGAAAAAAATATATGCACTATGATTACAACCATATAAAAAATCAGATACAAACAAACTATATATAGTTACGAAATATAAAGAAAGATATATGAAGGAAATATGCAAAATGCCAAAATGCTAGTAGTGGTTGTGTTAGGGTGGTAGATTACATAGATTACAGAATTCTGTTTTATTTTTTATATAAATAAAAAATATTTTTTATAAAAATATTTTTATAAAAAATAAATATAAAATATATTAAAAAAAATTTTTTTCCTACTTTTCTTTTTTTTTTGCGGTACGCGGGCCTCTCACTGTTGTGGTCTCTCCTGCTGCGGAGCACAGGACCCGGACACGCAGGCTCAGTGGCCATGGCTCACGGGCCCAGCTGCTCTGTGGCATGTGGGATCTTCCCGGACCAGGGCACGAACCCGCGTCCCCTGCATCGGCAGACGGACTCTCAACCACTGCGCCACCAGGGAAGCCCATTTCCTACTTTCAAAAAATAAAAATACTTTAAAAATTTCTACCCAGGACTTAAATTAACCAGTATGTAGAGTACAGGCACCCCTTATTTCTCTTCCTTTGTCCTATGTGTTACTGTGTTGTCTGAACATATACTCCCAAACCTGCAGGCTAGGTGAGGGAATGACTCTTGTAACTGTATTGCTAATGTATACTCTTTGGTTGCTGCAGTTATTGAAGGGTGAAAGCATTTTTACACTGAGGTCCAAGAATGAGGAAAACTACTTTCCTGGGTCAGGAAGTGTCTTACCTGAGCCACCTAAGGTGACAAAGGATACCAATGTTCAGGGTCATTTATTGGAGATCAATCTACCAGTGCCCAGCAAAAGTTTAAGGCTAGGAATGTTCCATAAACTAGAGTAGGACCTGAATAAAAGAGCCTAGGGTAGCTCTGCAAAGTTCAAAGGGTGAAAAGTATTGGAGATTCTCTGGGGAGAGGAGCATGGACCACAAGACAGCAAAGATCACCCAGCAGAGATAGGTAGGGAGTCTTTCTTCCACACACACAAGGGTACATGTTAATGAAAGTCACTTACCACCTGCTTCAAGGCCCTCCTCTTGATCTTCCTCTTCCTCATCACCCTGATTTTTGTAATAAGACTCCCACCCTGACATGTTGGTTACTGCTCACAAGCTGAAAGAAAGTGGAGATCAGTAACAACCAAATTTAAACCTAAAAGTTATCGACCCCTAGGCTTATTTGAGTTCTGTCCTAAAAGCTACATGTTACTCCTGAGGAACGTGGATGCTGGATCCTGCTGCCTGGAGAGCTTAGTAATTGAGATGCAAGGTAAAAGGGCATGGGATCATTCCTGAAATAGTCTCACCTTAGCTATCCCTTAAGGACAATTCAGGGCCGGTGGCCCGTAATGACCTCTCTGATGGGTGTGCTGGGGCAGCCTGACCTGGAGGCCCAGTCCCGCCTCCGGCATCATCTGGCATATAAAAATTTATTACTATTGTGCTTTCATCATCAAAACTTATGATCTTGGTCTTTCCTTCTTGCCTTTGTATAAGGCCAAAAGAGTGACACTGGCTACTCTGACAACCTTAAAGCAGACTCCAGGAATGTCACCAACAGCATGACCTTTACGACCAAATCCAGAAACCAGAACTTCATCATTTTCCTCAATAAAATTCAAACAACCATCATTGGGTACAAAGGCTGTGATTTTTTTTTCCCATTCTTGATTAGCTGAACCCTGACACACTTCCTGATGGCAGAATTTGGCTGTTTGGCTCCTACTTTTTTTTTTTTTTTTTTTTTTTTTTTTTGGGTCGGGGAGCCTCTCACTGTTGTGGCCTCTCCCATTGCGGAGCACAGGCTCCGGACGCGCAGGCTCAGCGGCCATGGCTCACGGGCCCAGCCTGTCCGAGGCATGTGGGATCCTCCCGGACCGTGGCACGAACCCGTGTGCGCTGCATCGTCAGGCGGACGCTCAATCGCTGCGCCACCAGGGAAGCCCAGGCCCCTACTTTTTCAAGCACAATTCCCTTGGCATGAGAATCACCTCCAAAAGGGTTGGCCTTCAGGGCTGTACCCAAATGGGCTTTTTTGTACTGTTTATCATGCCACTCCTGGTCTCGTCGGCGGCTACGGAGCTTCCTGGCAGTACGAAGACCGCGACACTTGCCCATCCTGCCTGCGCCACGGGCCTGAGTGAAAGAGCTCCGGCATCATCTGGACTTGAGAGATTCCCGGTCCAGTGTACTGCGTCCTTTAGCAGACCCACTTGTCCTCATCCCGCCCCCAAATCTCCCCCAACTCCTCAGCCAGCTATGCCCAGTGGGGTCTCAAACGCAGGCGGGCCTCGAAGGCCGGGTGCGCCTCCCCTCGGAAGAAGGAACAGGGATCAGAGGCCGTCTCCACCCCTCGGGTCCGCACACTTCTGGCTGACGCTGCCCCACGATGAGGCTACGGGGACGCGCAAGACTGAGTGGGCAAAGCAAAATGAAGCCAGCCCTGGCAGAGAGCAACAAACACAAAACTCAGCCCCCTTCTTACCTACCTTGAGCGCAATGAAGAGATCAATTTGGGCAGAAGGCGGGGCGCCGCACAAGCGCTGGCTCTTGTTCCCGCTCCCAATCAACGCCCCTTACGTCATCACGCATAGCGCGCACCTTTCGCGTCCAGGTGACACGCCCACTCCCGCAGGCGCCTTCCACACCCGTCCCGACCTAACACCACCCCGTCCGCGAAGCCCCGCCCCCCATGAAAACCCGCCCCTCGCCGCCCGTCAAGACGGTACGCACATACGCGAGAATGCGTCCCCGCCCCCGCTCCCGCCCCCGCCCCCGTCCAGTCTTCCGCGCGAAGCCGGGCGGTCCTCGCTCTGTCACCTCACAGTAGTCGTTGCCGGTGGCGGGTGTGGGGGCGCGAGCAGCGCTGGACGACCTCTCCCCCGCCCCTCAAGCCGGGCCCGGGCTCGGTCTCCCCGCTCCCTCCGCTCCCCTCCCCCGTCGGGTACGGGAAGGTCCAAGCAGCTGCCGGGTGCCTGAGGGACTTAGTGGCTGCAGCCGCCACGGGTCCCGATGGAGCCGCCAAATCTCTATCCCGTGAAGCTCTACGTGTACGACCTGTCCAAGGGCCTGGCCCGGCGGCTCAGCCCCATCATGCTGGGTGAGGGGCTGGGGGCGGGCGGGAAGGAGGGCGGGAGCCGGGCCGGAGGGCGCCGAGACGGCCGGCCGAGGTGGGGAGGCCTGGGCCATGGCTCAGGGGAAGGCCCAGAGGATGGAGAAGAGCCCCAGTAGAGAAGGTGTGGGTCTGAGGTTTGGGCCCCCGAAGCCCCTCTTGGCCCTCGTCACGTTTGAATCCAGGGAGAGGGGATAAAGGAGTCACGCTCTCCCCTAGACCTTCAGAGCCACTTCAGCTGGGAGGTGGGGGAAGCCGGCGCTGGGTCCCCGTGGGTTTCCTGACTTGCTTGGGGAGCCCCCTACACTCCTTCCTCGGCGCTGTGGAGTGGAGGTGAAGATGCCTGCCGCGCGGTGCTCCTCGTGGTGAAAGGGACACTGCTGAGGAGAGCTTTCCCTCCGTGCCAAAATGAAACTCTTTGTGCAGTCTCTGGGGTAGGTGGGGAGAGAAAGCTAGAGCTGCACAGGGGCCCAGCCGTTGCCCCCAGGCAGAAGTAAAGTCAGGTCTACTGGAGCCCGAACTCAAGAATTCACCAACTTCCGCCTGACAGTGAGGTCTTCTCAACAGCTTCTAAGTTAATTGCTTTTGCCCAGGTGGTGAGAAAGCAATTCTGGGGGAGGATTGGTTGCTGTTGTGTCAGTAAGGATTAGTAAGGGAAGTATTTCTGTTGTGCTCCATTAAACTACTTAACTGCCAGGAGAGAAAATCAGCCCTAGTTCAGCATAGATCAAACCTCTTTATAACCCAAATACCAAAATGTCTTGTGTAACATAGGAATTGTCAGGTTTGTGATTTCAGATGATGTTGGGCAGGAAAGGATTCTGGGAACTGAAAATTGAACAGCTTTGGCAACATCCATTTGAATGGCTAGTATTTCCTGGCTTCTATGGAGACATTAGAGAATGTTTTAGTTCATGTCATATCTGTGAGACAAGAGGGCAGAGATCAAGTAAGCAAGGCTGCTTTTGAGTTTCAGTGTCCTTGAGTTTCTAATGTGTCTTAGTGGGTTGAACTTAATCTCTTAACCCTGGGGCAATGAGTGATTCCTATATTTGGCTTCACATCAGAATCACCTAGGGTGCTTGTTAAAAATACAGATAACTTCATTTCCAACATATATTGTTTTTTGTTTATTTTATTTTATTTTATTTTTGGCTGTGTTGGGTCTTTGTTGCTGTGCACGGATTTTTCTCTAGCTGCAGCAAGCGGGGGCTACTCTTCGTTGCGGTGCTCGGGCTTCTCATTTTGGTGGCTTCTCTTGTTACAGAGCACGGCATGTGGGATCTTCCCGGACCAGGGCTCGAACCCATGTCCCCTGCATTGGCAGGCAGATTCTTAGCCAGTGTGCCACCAGGGAAGCCCCCAACATATATTGTTAAATGTGAATAGAGAAAATGAAGTTGGAACAGTTCTTTAAATATGCAGTTGTGTGTTTAAAGCAAAGGATACATGTTTGTTTAGGCAAATAATTATCTGGAAGATACATAAGAAAATTGCTAACAGTGGTAGCTTATGAAAAGAGGAACTTAAGGAATTCCCTGGCGGTCCAATGGTTAGGACTCCATGCTTCCACTGAAGGGGGCACAGGTTTGATCCCTGGTCGGGGAAACTACATGCTGCACAGTGAAAGCAAAAGAGAAGAAAAGGGGAACTTGATGCTGGAGACATACATATATTTTCTATTCAAAATAAGCAAAGTTTTTTTGACCACGCCATGCAGCTTGCGGGATCTTAGTTCCCCAACTAGGGATTGAACCCTCACCCTTGGCAGTGAAAGCATGGAGTCCTAACCACTGGACCTCCAGGGAATTCCTGCAAAGTTTTAAACATATGGATTCTAGAGTCTTATTACACAAGTACTTAATAAGAATCTTTTGGAGTTTTGATCCAGAAATCTGTATTGTTAATAAGCTCCTCAGGTAATTCTTATGTAGCCAATCCATTATTAGAAGGTTGGGCCTAGATCTCCAATTGTTAAAATGAATAAGGCAAATCTGAAAGCAAACTAACAGAGTCACTGTTTGAGGAAGGTGCTAGTCACTAGTACATTACATCAGTCAAGTTCTGACTAAACTTCTTGTAATGGAGCCATTTAGTTAGCTTGATCATAGTGAGGAGTTACTTAGGTATTTCCTAGACCCATAAATAAAAGCCTCCACCTTTACACTGGATATTTTTTTGTTCTATTATATACTAGTTATTGATTTTAGCTAAAGGGGGCCTTAGGGTCATTGATTCATGATTCATTCAGCAGACATTGAGTGTCTACTACGTGCTAGTCCCAGTGTTAAGCTTAACTGAAAATGATGTGATAAAGATGTTCTCTGTCATCATGGAGCTATTTAGTGGGGAAGACATTAAAGATAAATAAGCAAATGAAGTAATTACAAATCGTGATAAGTACTAGGTTGTGCAGGAAGCCAACTAGGTGCTGAGACAGAAAATAAGAGAGACCTACTTTAAATAAGGGGATCAGAAGTAGTGGCTTTTAAGTTGGGAATTAAAGGATGAGGAAGAGGTAGTCACAAGGTGGGTGGTGAGGGAGTTATAATGTTCCAGACAGAAGGGGGATTAACCTGCCAAGGCCCTCAGGCAAAAAACAGCCTGGCCTGGTCTAGAAGTGGCCTGGCCTTTGTGGAGTTTAGTGGGTGAAGAGGAAGGTGCCGTAACTGAAGGTGGAGTACTGGGACTCCCTCCCACCCCCCAAACCTTTTTTAATAGATGTGAAATCCTAGAAGACCTCAGCCAACGTCATCAGTTTGGCACATCTGATTCCAGTGGTATTTCTGAGAACATTACCTTGCCTGCAAATCTGATTCTCTCTTCTCTATCCCATTTTCTCATATTGCTTTTATGCCTTTTTCAAAAGTAATGAATAAAGGGTTATCAAAGGTGGTAATCATTACTTTCTAGAGTTAAAAACTTATGGAAAATGAGCATTGCCTTACAGGTGCATCCTATCCAGACATCACTAACCTTAAAGTTGGGTATGTCCCAGTTCTGTTAGGAGCCAACTATTAATTTCCCATTCCTAAATATATTTGAAACTTTAAAAAATCAATTTGTTTCCTGATTTTTGCAATGAATTCTAGAAGCATATTAATAGCTAGATTTACTGAGTGCTTACCATGTGCCAGACCCTTTTTTTTCTGAGTATGTTCATGTGTTATATTCTTCACCACAAATTTGTGGGATAGGTCCTGTTATTATCTCCATTTTTCATTTGAGGAACCCAAGATATAGGAAGGACATTAAGAAATTTGCCCCCCAGGTCACACAGCTGGTAAGTGGCAGAGCTGGGTTATAAACACAGGCAGTCTGACTTCCAGAGCCCATGTTCTCAGGTATTTTGCTATACCACCTTTCCTGTGTAATATGTTCCTTTATAATTGATGTAAAGTAGGTACCTAGTTCAAGTTTATAAAGGCATCTCTGGCCAAGTGTTTCAAATTTGGATGAGGAAAATAGCTGGATTCAATGTGTATGTGCCATTCATAATCATAGTTTTATGATCATCCCTCCTAGCCTTCATTGTCCTGAACTAGTGTGACCTCATCAGCAGTGCCAACTTATTCTTTTTTTTTTTTTGAAAGGGGGAACTTCATGGGTGGAGTGGCCTGGCTCTTTATCTAGTTATAGTAGCCTCTTATTATGACAGCTCCTCATTGTAAGACCCCCATCTAGTTTATTACAATCCTGATTAGACTAGATAAACCCAATGTAATTCCTTTCTCCCCTGAAACAATGTAGACTCCACAGTTTTACCCTGTACAGTTTTCAGTCTTCTAGAATTGCTTCCCATGAAGGTATTCCTGCTCCACAGTCTTTCGCTCATAATGAAGGCAGTCCTGGAATTATCCTTATCGCTCTAATCGAGCAGACAGCCTGATTGTACTTTTTTTTTCATAGTTACTATTTGCCTAAGATAATTAGCTATTATGATTGTCCTTCAGTTTGTCCTTTTAATAATTTTGGCTGCTCTTTAAATTTCTTGACCTCTTTCTGTGCTAAAGTACATAAAGATAATGGTGGAGGTTTGTTATATTTGTTTAATCGTGGTAAGGGATACTTTCTATTTGTTGATTGTTTTCCAATCTGAAGTTTGTGTGCATGTACGTGTTCCAAGATCACATTTATTTTTCTTTACAAGCCTATCTCAAAATTGTTGTCAGGGGACTTCCCTGGTGGCGCAGTAGTTGAGAGTCCACCTGCCGATGCAGTGGACACAGGTTCGTGCCCTGGTCCGGGAAGATCCCACATGCCGCGGAGCGGCTAGGCCCGTGAGCCATGGCTGCTAAGCCTGCACGTCCGGAGTCCTGCCGATGCAGTGGACACAGGTTCGTGCCCTGGTCCGGGAAGATCCCACATGCCGCGGAGCGGCTGGGCCCGTGAGCCATGGCCGCTGAGCCTGCGTGTCCGGAGCCTGTGCTCCGCAACGGGAGAGGCCACAACAGTGAGAGGCCCGCGTACCACACGCACACACACAAAATTGTTGTCAGGTTTAAAGACTTAGGCATATGGAGTGTGTGTGTGTGTGTGTGTGTGTGTGTGTGTGTGTATTTCTTGGCAGAATGCAATCAAATGAACATTTGAGATTTTACACTGCTCAGTTCCTTGCTTAATTCTGTAGTACAAATAGTAATGAAATAAAAGACATGGACTCTGTCCTCGAGGAGTTTAATTAGTTAAAAGTAATGCTGTGCATGTGCAACATTAGATAACAGCACAAAAGAGATTATGATTAGGACTTCCCTAGTGATGCAGTGGTTAAGAATCCGCCTGCCAATGCAGGGGACACGGGTTCAAGCCCTGGTCTGGGAGATCCCACATGCCACGGAGCAACTGAGCCCGTGTGCCACAACTGCTGAGCCTGCGCTCTAGAGCCCATGCTCTGCAGCAAGAGAAGCCACCGCAGTGAGAAGCCCGTGCACTGCAACAAAGAGTAGCCCCTGCTCGCTGCAGCTAGAGAAACCCCACGTGCAGCAGCA